ACAGATTTTTTGTATAACCGCTCAAAATTACGCTTTCAGAACGCTTTAAACGCCATTTTCCCAAAATGGCTCCAAGTTTTTCAAACTTTAACGATAGAGCCTGAATTGGACGAATAATAATATGACAAGTTCATATCGCGAAATTTACAGTGCACCATTTTCAGGAAATTGCATAAATAATAATTATATATATATATATAGATATATTATATATATATATATATATATATATTATATATATATATATATTTATAGTATATATATATATAGTTTGGACGGCGATAAATAGCATCAGGTAAAATATATTACTTAGCAATATATAAAAGTTATTGTAGCTTACCGAGACCAAAGAAAAAATAAAACTAGTATGGAAAGTCTGTACCATTCTGTAGCACTAATAGTTTACATTTCACCTTCATCTCGTCTTTAGTGCTAAGCTCGAGTAGCTCCACATTCACCACTTCAGTTTCATCAAATGGATTTATGATTAATGGTGCCATTTCCATCTTCGGAATATCTTAAAATCTATTTCTGATGTCATTATGCATTGCATTTAAATGTTGAACGTATGTCTGAATATCCTCGTTAAGACAGACATTCTGCCTGTGAGAGGTTTGGAAACTGTCAGAATTCGCGTCGACTAATATTTTGCTTTATAAATTTGAATTTTCGAGGAAAACCGAAATTATACCCTTTGTTTCTATCAAATTTAGTCTGTCCCTTGTAACTACAATAACTTGTCCTTAAAGATTTAGAACAAATCTGTCAAATTCCCGATGTCTGCTCTCAATTTGATCAGATTTTCTTTTAAATTTGAATTTTTACTTTCGAGAAACTCTAAAGCTGATTCAAAAAGTGAAAATAATATTGTTAAACATGCACTTTTCGACAAACAGCGTACTTCAGTATGTAAGAGTGATTGTTGGACGTCTTCATCGTTTTCGTCACCCAATTGTGCAAATATAAGGCATTCAATGCTTGCCTTCATATTTTGTCAACTGCTTTAATCACAAATTGAAGCGATTGGTGCAATCTATCACTCAAATGTTTCGCTACCAGGTGTTGTCGGTGGATGACCCTGTGAATTGCAGTTACTCCTGGTATAAATCTTTTAAGATGGCTTATAAAGTCACGATATCGCTCGAACATGGCAGGACCTCCATCTGCTGCACCTGAAATAATGTTTGTGAATGGAATTGGAAGGAAAAAATCTCTCAGCACATTCGCCTGTAGTGTCCGTCTCCCAAGTTTTCGTGAATAGCAAGTTTTCATGAATTTTTTCGTCCATAACAAATCGACCAAATCGCCAATAATAATGCTTCATTTCCAGAAAACGTTGACTCCTCCAGTTTGAATTGAATAAAAACGAGTTATTTGTAGATAATTACTCAAGAAGCTATCATTAGCAGAACTCATTTCATCAATACATCTTTGTGCAGTGTTGTTACTCAAAGGAATTCTTTTGAGTGCTTCAAGTGGAGGTTCATACAGAACAGTTTTGAAAACCTCTTCAACAGCGAGTAAAATTAACTGTCCTCCACCGGTGTTCGGTTTTTCAAATTTCTATAAGCAATGAGATATTGTAAGAGGCCGGCAAGCCATCGTCGTCACTTTGAGACGTTGAAGCCAACACACTGTGTACGATGCGTTTCTTTTCAAGTTTTCCCTTCAATGTTGGAACATATTTTAAATCTTTACCAATTTTATCAGGATGACATCACCTTAGATGATCTTCGAGCTTTGACGGTTTCATTAAGACATTGCTTAAAACTTTGTTGCATAAAAGGCATACGGGCAATCTTTTGTCTATCTTTGATGAAGATAAAAAAACAAATTTTAAATAATTATCACTGTACTTCGATATGTTCGGACGGACGGGATGACGTTATGAAAAAAAGAATGACCAAAAAAACCAACACTTTTTTCCTATCAGGGGAGCCCAAAACGTGAATTTTCGTTGAAATCTCGGAATCGATTTTCCTCAACATTACATAACTTTCCCTATGCTACGTATATTACATCGCGTATACGTATAAAAACGGGAAAGTAAAAAATAGCACCTAAAAGCAGGCCCTCTTTAACCCGGGCCCACCCGCATTGCGTGCCCCAACGGTACGCCACTGTGATCAACGCATTATATAGATCAATAGTTTAGACAACGCTTATATTTGCTTCTGAACTGAATCTGCAGAGTAAAATATCCCACACACATTGCAACAACAAAGCCCCCAAATGTCCTATTGGACACCAAGCCGCCGTAGCTTTGGTTCACATAGTCGCTTAATCAGATGTGTCGTTTTTATAATAGTCGCTTCATAAATTTCTGACCAAAACTTCGTAAGGCAACAAACAGCGTCAGCTCAAGAAGATCACATTGTGTAGGACAATGATTCAATGTAATTCTTTCAATTTGGCAACTCATAGTAAACCTTCTCATCGATGTGTGGATGCGGAGAAAAAGTATAGTTTTTAAATCATTCCAAAATAAGTGATCGAAAAAGTATTATCGAAAAAAATGGAAAAAGATCGAAGAGAGAAATAATTATAAACTTAAATTAAATCAAAGTAAACTGGAACCACAATAGCACTGCTGAAAAGATAACACACAGAGATTGAAAAGGAAATAAAGGAATACGTTAGAAATGAAAAAAAAAAAAAAAAAGAGATGGATTGAAAGAGATGAAGTCAAAACTTAATGATATAAATGAGGAATGAATAAAGGAAGAAAGTGGGGCTGCTAATCAATTATGATAAAACGAAATCTCTAAAAATAAATGCAAATGTTCAAGACACCTTAAAAATTAATCAGGAAGAAGTACATGATGTTCACAAGTTTCAGTATCTGGAGAATATAATAATTGATGATGGAGGCGCAGTTAAAGATGTAAAGAATCAATAAAGCCAATACTTGTTTTATACAATTAAGAGAAATCTGGAAAATCAGAAATATTGCCTTAAAAACAAAACTACGCATTTTCAATTGACATGTAAAATATGTGCGTTTATACGGATCAGAAACTTGGAAAATAACACATAAATTACATGTATTCATAAACTGATGTCTACAAGAATCCCAAACATTAGGTGACCGCAAGAAATAACAAATGAAGAACTGATGAAGAAAGCTGATGAAACATCAATATCAATGCAAATAAAACGCAGAAAATGGAACTGGATAGGGCATTCTTTAAGGAAACCCCAAAATTCAATTGAGTGAGAAGCACGATGTTGAAACCCCAAGAAAGTAGAAGCCAAGGTCGCCCGAGAACAACATAGAGGACTGTCAAAGGAGAGATCCGGGAGACTGGTATGACGTGGTAACGATTCATCCCTATTGCAGAAAACCGAGTAAGATGGAGATTCCTTGCCGATGCCCAATGCTCCTAAAGGAACAAAAGTGGGAGGAGGAGGAAGAAGAAAAACACCTCTTTGCAATGTATGCTTCCAATCACTGAATCTGACAGTGTCCGAAAATGCTCTTCTACATCCAATCTAATGGTGCTACAACAGCACATACTTCCTTGCATTATTTCTGTTTTGCTGTATTACACTACTACATAAACATGCATACATATTTTCAGAAAGCAAAACTCATTTTCCACACCTAGACCCGAATTCACGTCCTCCGGGTAACTCGCCGTCAGTCATTCCACTCCGCTACAGAAGCACGGTAAAGTTTGAACACGGGCCGACGCTTAAAAATGTAATTGTCGCAACCCAACAAGCAATTTTTTAAATTTTCGAACATTCCCCGAGTTCGCCGAAAATGGGACTAACACCATATATTTTAATGTCCCTTGATATATGCGAGGTGAAAATATTAAAATTGCTTATATTTTGTGCAAAAATACGCGAAACCTCTCATTTTTGAAAAATCGAACATCGCCTTATTTTAAGATGTCTTTAAGAAACATATTTCATTAAGAAACTAATGGTGGTACAGAATGGCACAGACTATCCCGCATTACTTTTCTATTTGCTTGGTCTGGGTTAACTATTCTGACTTGCCCCATCCTCTTCCTGGCTGCCGTCTATAGCATCTACCTATGGGCGGCGGCTCAAAGTACATTGTTTTAAAAGTTTTCTCAATTTTTCTGTTAGAATATTAAAAAAGAGTAAAACTTCGTCCTAAATCGTAAAGTGTATATTAAAGATGTGAGGAATATTTTTAAAAAAATACACTTGTCTAATTTTTGAAAAAACAACAATAAAAAATACAGCAAAATAAAGGTTATGCCATATTAAGCAGTGTAATTATCACAATCTATAAAAGTTTGAAGAAAAAATTTCGAGCTGTTTTTGAGAAAATTGCGTTAGAGCGTTTCTGAAAATTTTCACAGAAAACTGTTGTTTTTGAGAAACTTTATATAACATTGTTTAAAGCACAAGTACTCATAATTATAAGAATGTGAACAAATTACCGCTAATATAAATATTAACGTCGTGAGAGACTAGTCAAAAAAATTACATTTTTGTATTTTTTGAAATTTGCTCTCTCTGAGCAATTTTCTACTAATTAACTATGTGAGAGACAAGTCAAAATATTTACATTTTTGTAATTTTTGAAAAACCAGAAGAATATAGCAATATGGCATTTATGTCATCTTAAAGAGTGCATTTAGCACTATCCTTACCAAAAATTTAAAGAAAAATTCTTGTTTTTGTATATTTTTCTATTACACATATTGCTCGCAAACTTCTAAAATTTTCAAAAAATGTACATGACCCTATTGAAAGATCTGATTATGAACAACAAATTTCATTTGAAAGAAAAATCTGTCTTCAAGCAGGAAGACGCCAGAAATAATTCAAACTTTTGAGATTTTCGAAAATTCAGTCAATCCTGAAAACCCTAAAGTACACCCAAATTTTAAAGAACGTTTTTCAATGTCTTAAAACTTTGACTCGAGGCAGATCGACAGGGAATCCTTCAATTTGGAAAAAATCCGTAGTGTTTAGGCGCTAGTGAAGTTCACAGACGGACGAACATTTTGCCGTCCATTGGTTTCTCGGTATCAAGGTATATATATGTATATACATATATCAACGAAGTTTTTGATGCAACATTATAGATCATAAATGCTAGCATATTTTGCTGATATTTAGGTCATTAAAAACTGAGCTTTATTGATAACAATGTACATTTCAGGTATGAAAAATTCATACATGAAAATTCATAACGTTTTTAACTCCTTCCTAGTTTCCACATATTTTTAATAATTTTAACTATCATGTTAAAAATTCAATACAAAAAAATGATTGGTATCTGAAAGTGGTGACTAAATGCACTTTTTAACACTTAAAACAGTTTGAAGTTTCTGTTCTCAAAAAATAAATGTTAATGTTAATGTTAAAACTGCAGAGAAGTTCCTTGGATGAATTAAATCCAATGAGTGCAGAGTTTAACAATGAAGTATATTTCAGGTTCATGATGAGTTGCGGGTGAATCATTGCATCACAAAGAACCTTTTGATTTCTTCTTATTCTTCACCTTAAAAGACACATCTGTATTACTATTTGACAGCTTCATTTTTGCTTTTTCACGCCTCTTTTTCTGTTGTTCCTTCCGCCATTTCAAGCGCCGCGCTTGAATTTTTGCTGCCTCTTCATCAGGGTCCTTGCCTTCCATTATAAGATTCTTCCGTTTATTTGTTTCTTTCCGTTCATAAAAATCTGTCTCATCCAATCTAATCTCTGCTTCTCGTTTGGTAACAGAAACTTGTGTGAAAATTCTGGCAACCTCCTTACCTAAACAAGTAAATATAATAATTAGTTGTAATCAAATAAATAAAAGAAGAGTTCATTATATTAAGTAATTTTATGAATAATTAATGCAATACTTCTTAACTTAAAACAACCATATATCAATCAGAAGTAAATGACATGATTACTTTTAAATGATGCCATTTTTAATCCTACTTTTTGTCCAAAAACTTTATCTGGCTCTTCTCAATTTCAGAAAATTTTTTGAATTCAACCACAAAACCAAATATTTTCAAAATCTCAAAATTTAACAAATTCTGTTTACCATCCACAGGAAATTCCTCAAGTTTAGTGCCAATGAATGATTCAATGGCATGCAACACATTGATGTCTGCAGGGGTGACAAGAGAAAGAGCTGAACCAACTCTGCCTGCACGAGCAGTTCTGCCAACACGATGCACATAGTCCTTGGGGTCATTTGGAATAATGTGGTTCACTACTAAACCAACTGCTGGAATATCTAAACCTAGACACAAAGATAAATTCCTTACAATTTTTACATGCCAACATAACATTTTAACTTCTCACACGTGCCCATGCACGCACGCACGCACACACACACACACATCCAAAATAAGCAAATTCATAATATTCTGAAACGTAATACCTTATTGTCATTTTCCTACAAGAAGTAAATGGAGCATTTAAAACACATGTAAATTGTTTTTAGTGAAAACAGTTTCGCACTGAATCATAGCTTCAAACAACTAGTTTTTGAAAGTACATTACAGCATTTATACCCCAGTAATGTACTTGAGTAAACAAAGTAATAAAGCTGTTTTGGGATTAAATTTCACAGGAAATTAAATAATTACTTTAATTTATGGTGAAATTTTATTTCAGGCTTTTCTTTCCATATAATTTCACTTACATTTCGAGTTACAGCTAACACCTGACCACCCATGCTATGGATTAGGGGTCCCCAGAAGATGTAAATCTTCAAAACATGACATTATGTAGTATTTACTTGAGTACAAGCTTCACTTTTTCCCCCAAAAAGTAACTCATGAAATGGAGGTGCGGCCTGAACACGAGATTTCTCTTAAAAAAACATTGAAAGAAAAATAATATTTTTTGCCGAAAATAACATTTTTTTTCTTCACAAATGAACGTAATATATATGTTAAAGTTAAATTTAATAATTTTCACCGCTACTGAATTCAGTCATTTTATCCCTGATATGTTGTCACTTTCAAAATCACTGGAAACGTTCCATAATGCATCGTCCTTGCTCTTGTCCATCTTAATTGAAATGCTGCACACTTTAAAAATTCTTCTCAACCTTCCAGTGGTGTGAAAATAGCCATGCCTGTCCAAAACTAGCATGGACTGTTGTTTCAGCAGCGCACACCAGGCCGCTGCCACTACAGTCCGGGTTTTCATCCATCCATCTACTTTCCTGGACACACACTATTATCCCGGGGTGAAATTTCTCCTTCAGCATAGTTTTCCGTCAGAAAATCATGTAGGCAGCAACTTGTGTCCGTCCGACGTTATCACCAGCATAGTGGTGCTGAGCTTGAAATACAGTATAGAGGATACCATGTTTCGTCCCCATTTAGCTGCCCTCGAACTGCAGCACCTCAAGGAAAACAGCAAAACCGTTGCACTGGGTTCCCGAACGTATTTTAACAATTCTTCTTCAACTGCTAGATATTTACATATCTTGCCTCGAAATGCGCATTTATTGCAATTGGTATTGTTTGCATGCAATTAGGTGTTGTTTTGAATCCATCACCTCACATGCTTGTCATCAACGTTGAACTTCCTCCTGGCTTCTGGATTCCCCTACCGTTTGGCAAACTTAACTGCGACTTATACACGAGATTTTTTTGTTACTTGAAATGATTGTGTCAAAGATCATTGATGCGGCTTATACATAAGTGAGTATGGTATAACTCCCCTCATTGTTCTGGCCATCCCCACCCTGGCTATACCCACACTATTCCCTCGTCTGTCCCCAAAATTCGAGACCCAACAAAACTCACCTGTCTCTTTAAAACTAGTGTTCCTTTGGGAAAACAAAAACATGTTTTAAGGGCATAGGGTGAATCAATTCTGAGTTAAACACAATTTTAATGTGTGTTGTAGTAATCAGTTCCATATCTACTTAATAACCTTGAAACTTTTGTATTCAATTTTTTGATACAGGACTGAAGAATAACTTCCTAACCAGCAGTAGTACATTTATAAAGTTTTGTGTCAATGGTTTCTTATAAATGTTCTGTAAACTGTTTTAAAAATAGTTTTACGTGTTGAAAATTTTTTTCATACATCATTTCTTTCATGTCCAGCTTTGTTTAAATATATTCTTTCAGTATCTGGCATTGTGCTTACCAATGAATTGTAGTGGCTGATAATGTTATACTCCCCATCAAAAGTTCCCAACACCCAATGATCTTGTGTATTATCTCCATACAGGATATGAACGGGTCTTATTGCAATTTCAAAATTATAATTGCTGTAACAGATACTTGCAGGTTTTGATGCTAATAGTTAGATTTCAGTTCAGCTTCATTTTTACGCCTTTTGGTAATATTCACAAGAATTCACATAGCACATTTGCAATAGCACAAATGCTAAATGCAAAAATTCAGGTTATTCCGAATTAGTTCCCAAAATTTTATCACATCTTTTACAAATACATTCGATTCTTCCCCGAATTTCCTTAAAAGTCTATATTTTTCTCTCCTAATTTTGGAAGAGATTTAAACTTCGCAAACTCAGTCTTTTTTCTGTTCACTTCTATTTCTGCAAATCGCTTTATTAATTGTTTTGTATGTTTATGTGAAAAAGGTGTAAGTTAATTTGAATATGAATACGTTATGGGTCACATTCATTTGAAAATGGTATTTGTACACTTATGACCAAAGGTAAAAGTTTGAAGTGGAACATAATGTTCATTCATTCTCTAGCATTACTCACAGTTTTGTTTTCTCCACACTTGGTTGAAATTCTTCAAGTTCAATAAGTTCCAAGGCAATACTGTTTGTAGGTATTGGCAAATTAATTTTTTTAAATACGATAATAATTCGACTCTAAAAAGAAATCAAACTGCAACGTGATTAACATGGCAATTCAATCGTTTACTTAAATATGTTAAGATCAATGTTGTCATGGTCGTGAGAGAAAATTATGGCGTATTAAGCAAAAAATGCCTTTGGGTTCTGGTACTTATTCAATGCCACCTAGATAGATTGATTTAGGAGGCGTTGGTTTACTTCCAGGCAATTATCACCAAGATCGTAATGCCAAAACACAAAAAAACACTTTTTGGAAATTTCTTTACATCTTCTAGGATCCAAAACAATTATCAGTTCCTTATCAGGAGACCGAGAAGCATTGAATGATACCTTATATGTCTCGATTGGTGCATTGGAAGTACTCTAGATGCCAGTAATGGAATGGCAAAAACACACATCTGCATGTCCGCTCTCAAGAGCTTTATTGAAATATTGTAGTGATGTAGCATATTTCCATCTATTTTAGGGCTTATAGTAACATTAAGTAAAAAACAAAAATAAATATGTAATTTACCTCGACTGGCAACATCAGTAGCAACCAGAATTTTATTTTGGTTTGATTTGAATTTTGCTAAGGCAGCAAGTCTTTCTCTCTGAGATGCCATAGAATGCAAAGCAACATTATCAAGGCCAATCTCATTAAGAGTCATTGACATCAACTGACAACTCCTGAAATAAAGAATTGATAAGTACAAAAAACAAAATGGACTTAAAAGAAATAATATGTACCATTGGCTTTGGGGGAAGGGGGGATGGCTAAAGCCTGATGAAACCCCCTTCCCCAGTTGGGCCACTGACAATGGAAAAATAGTATTCTATAACAGAAATTCTGCATAACTGCATTACCATCACAACTATATAATCACTCAATAAATCAATAGCCCAGAAGTAAATTGACTTATTAATCCCCACTTCTTTTTCTTACAGAAATAAACCTTATCACAAAAAGAAAGTAAATAATTTGGAAAAAAATTAAGATTAAGTTAAAAAATAAACCTATCTTTCCTAGGCTAGAGAGAACTAATAATGTTACAAATAAGAATCTTTTAAATCGTGCAAGAATGTAATAACATTTTAGAGTTAATTCTAACAAGTTGTCTCTAAAAGCTAATTATTCTTCTTTTCACATTGCTGTTTTCTTACATTGTAAATACAATACTGTTGACAATCACATGTATAAGGAAGCCTGCTCAAATGTCTACCTTGATTAAGCATTCACCTCACTACAGTCCTTTATTTCATAGAACCAATTGATTTTTCCTCAAAACAAGTGAAAATATTTCCTCTAAGTGGCTACCTGGTGTTGTAACAGGTGGATACGCTCTTTTTGTCAGTCACCACAAACAAATTTCAACTGTTATAAAATAAGAAGCAGAAGGGCATGTGAGATTACTATTGATTTGTTACCTTCCTATGGTGAGATGCATAATCAGATTACTTAGAACAGTAACATTTAGTGTCACTTATCTCACAGGGGAGAGTAAAATTTCTCTTTCAGATAACAACAGACGATTTTTATACACATCTCTTTACAAAATGACTTTCGCTTTGCCCATTCTGAAGCTTCTTGTGATGTTTGCAAACCCCAGCTTCCCTTCTATAATAACTTATCAATGACCTACAGAGCCATGAGTGTGTAACAGATTTAAAAGAACAATCACACACTCCTTCATCTGACAGCCATATTTTGGGGTTACAAAAAAAAAAAATTAAGAATAAAAAGAAAGATGGTGAAGATTAAAATTAACGTTCTACCTCAATTAAAAGTTTATGATTTCAAAGGTACAACAGCCCCTGCCTACTCATTACACACTTATATATTAAACAAAAAATATTAAACAATTGCTTTTCTTACTTGCAAGTATCTGTGAAAATAAGAATAGATGCATTTGGATTTTTTATGAGAAACTGTCGAACAGCCTCTACCAAGTAGCCATCCCTTATATCTACAGGACACAACACATAAAATTGTTCCAACTGATCAACAGTGGCTACTGTTACATCCGACTCAAACAAGAAGGCCTATGAACAAAGAAATGTGTCAAATTAATATCAAGTTTAACAGTATATTGTGACATACCAGAATGTCACACGAATGTAATACAACGTAAATGGATGCATCTAGCATAGCAACTAACTATAAACATTTAGGCGCCATGCTGGATGCTAGACGAGAATTGAATTGTCGAGATGCAGCACATTTTGGTATCATTAACATGGAATTGATTAGGGGAGGGAATTGAAAATTTAGCTTTAGCAAAAATTAGCAAATTCTCATTCTCACAGAAGCAGTCAAGCAGTTCACATGGTATGAACAATATGAAATTGTAACTTTGCGATAATAGATTTATGTTGTGGCTAAATATTTGTCTGGTTAATCCATAATAGTGTAGGCAAAGCAGTATTGTTTCTTTGGGTTTTAAGTGGGGAAATGTTCACTTTTTTAATAATAGTTACATTTACTGTCTTGTATGAATTTTGCATTTCAAAATACTTAGACTTTGCGTTCATGGGTTTACATGAGGTTAGTTCCATAATGGGAATTATAAATTATTAATTTTAAGGAATAGTAGTCATGAATAGAGGTTTCGCACAAAGAACTAGTGAAAGAAAGTTGCGACCGATAATATTAGAGCAGACATAGGGATTATCCGAATAGTAGACAATTAGCAATAGTCGGGTAACATTCTAAGTTTACACGGACATTAGGCTCATAAATTACACCACAGGAGGACCAAGGACATCCCCTTTCAGAGAAGACGTTGGTCATATCAATCGAGAAGACATTCTGTAAGCTAACAAACTTTATCAAAGCTGTACGGTTGAATAATGTTCAAAGCCCATAGAATCATGAATTAATGACATATATTTGTAATATTACATCGAGACATGTGATTAGAATGTTACAATGCATATTATTTGTTGTTTGAAAAGAAAAGGCTGATATTTCATTGAACTGCCATCAATTCAGTAAGTAGTAAATTCCACAGAAGATCCAGGAATCAAGATTTCTGTACAGAGTCACATGTTTACGTGCAGCAGATAAGGTGATGCATGTTGCATGTCGAACTCATGCAAGATCTTAACAGAAAAACAGCTAGCCAAATTATGAATTATTAGAGCAATTAAATTATGAGAAAAGCAGGGCAAATTAAATTGAAAAAATCACAAAACGTTACAAATGGTTTCACAGCTTGGGGTAGGATAAAATAAGTTGAGTTTAAGATGGTTGATCAAATAGAAAGGTTTAATTACATTACAAATTAGCATGCCCAATGCGGTGCAGGCTCATTTTGGTTACAATATCCACATAATTTTAAAAGTATAAAAGAGTGGACAACTTACTTTATTATTAGTAAGACTTTGCACTTTCTGAAGAGTATCATTCATCGTAGCACTGAACATCAGCATCTGTTTTTCTTTTGGCAACATAGAAAATATGGTCTTCATCTGAAAGAAAATTACAAATACATTCAATAATTTTAATTATAAATCAAGGGGGAAATTATAAGAGATATTCAGATTGAAAGCATTCTAATTTAGTCACAGAACTCATATATGATGAAATATGATGGGCATTGTAACTAGAAATTGGATTTCAATACAAATGAATATTGCAATTGCACATTCCAATGCAACTGTATATTATGCAGCAGCGATGGTGTAACGGTTAGTGTATTGGACTGTTATACCAAAGTCGGCAGGTTCAAACCTATTCAAAGACATGGATTTTTAAGGGGGAAAAAAATGTTAGTATATTTACTGCATATAAAAGATCAAGCCTAAATGAAGCCTCTGACCTAAATTCAAATTGTCTGTTTTGTTGCCCAAGAAATACCTCCTTTTTCCGCTAGTTGGAGAAAGGAACATAGCGAAATGCGGTCAGACAGAAGAACAGGTCTCATGGCCAGAGACTCACCACGTAAAATAAGACATTAATTCAATTCATATTTTCCTCTTGTAGTCTAAGTGTGGTTATTTGTTATGTGCACGAAATCCACAATTTCCAATTATTTAAACATTATTTTGTGATGCATGTTTTACCAGATTTCTTAATAAGCATATTTCTATGATTGCCAATTATTTTGCATTTTTTGCTTGAAAACTTATTTATGCATATGATAACTGATTCTTTGTACAAGCAAATGGCTTAGCAGAATGGCTCAAGCAGAATTATTAGAACATTATTTTCAAATCAATTACCTGAATATCAAATTTTCCATCAAGTAGTCTGTCAGCCTCATCTAAAACTAGGAATTTTATCTTTTTCAAGGTAAATGTGTTGCAACTTTTCAAATGATCTGCTAATCTGTGAATAGATTGAAATATAATTATAACAAGTTTCAAATTCAAAATAAAAAGTATATAATTATTACTAAATCTCAATCAAATACTTAAGAATTTTTTAGGTGTAAAAATGTCTGAGAGGATTTTCGAAAATTAACATGTCATCTAAAATGAAAATAATACTGGAAACATAATGTCAATTTAGAGATTCATTCAGAATTGGTGACAATTTTACAGTACTTTAATACAATCCCATCCCATAATTGTAATAAAGAAAGATTTAGTTTTCTTTAATACAAGTACAATGGACAGACGTCAGAAATACTCTTTCAGTAGAAACACTGGAAGCCATTTTGATTGTGAAATATACTTTTACCATCGTTCATGATGAAATATTCATACTTTTCTTTTTTCTAAATCAGAATGGAGTACCATACAGGAAAAAATTTGATATTAACAATAATATTTAGTGTATTAGTTACCATTTAAAGTATATAATTCCAAAAACCTAAACAGGCCTGAATAAGTATTGTAACTCAGCTTCTGAGCCAATGACTCCATCTCAATCAGGTTTTTCGTTCAGTTTCCCTGATCCTTTGAAATGTGAAATGACCCCTTGTTCTACTGCTGGTCATAAATCTACATGTTTGGTATAAGACTTCACTACCTGTGCACATTCTTTTGAGACTAATGAGGAATGCAGTTATTAAATAATCGTTCTCAATGTTCTCACAACAGTAAATAGTTTTCATCAGAAAGGGCACGATAAAGGATAATAGTAAACAAAATCTGTTGCTTTAGCAAATAGTTTTCATTACACTAAAGCAAATATTTTCATACAAATTTTGGTCAAAAACACTTTGCTACCTGTATTCATATTCAAATTAAAAGAAGTTAGGGCAGGGATCCCAGAAATCAAGAAACCGAGCACTGTCTCCACATTGCAGTTTTTGATGTTAAATAAATAAATAGCTCAGGAAAATGCAATGAAAAATATTGTCATAATTGATATGTCTTATGCAGAAGAAAAGAATTAAGATTAAATTCTATTGCCTTCAGGAATAATGATATTGAATATTTTAATGTCTATTTAAAGTTACCTCCCAGTTTTTCAATCCAAGATTAAGCCCTAATTCACCAATCAATTTGTCATCCCTGATTTAAGAGATTTTTTTATGAATTTCTAATAATAAATAGTAGTTTACCTTCCTGGTGTGGCAACTACAATGTGCGGCAGACATGATAATTCTCTTCCTTGAACTACCATGTCCATTCCTCCTACAATAACACTATGTCGTAAGTTAATAACTTTGCCCAACACTGCAAACTGATCAGCTATCTGCAAGACAAATAGAAGTCACAGTTTACTTAAATAAATAACAATGAATTCAAACTATTAAGTACTAGCAAAACCCTGCAGATGACGTTCTGCCCTTCGTCTCCCTCTCCCTCCTTTCTTTTCCCTCTCTGCCCGTCTCAATCTGTCCAACTCTTTTTCTGTATGTGAGTGTGTCTCTCTCATACACATTAAATTGCAGAATCTGCATGTCTCTGAGCAGGTGGGGTAATATCGAGAAGCAAGAATGTAATATAATGTTCAAAAAGATTTCACCCTGTAGATTAAGGTGCAAGACACATTTCTTGGAGGCATTTGGCTTCAAAATTTTAGTTTTTAATGCGCTGGAATGCTTTGTTTAAGAGTTATTTAACAATATAGTCAGAAATCCTGCTGCTGGCTGTTGTGGTTTGCATTTGAAATGAATATTTAGTCTTGTTCATTGTTCTTTTTTTTCCATACATTTTGCCAATATTTTAATAGTTATTCTACTATTTGGGGCAGAGATGAATTCAAGAAATAAGAGATAATTAAAATCGGTCCAGCCGATCTTTAGTGGTGTAATTTTTAATGGTGTAACAAAACCAACTATGATATTTTTTTTTATTTAGAAATTGTATGCAAAAAAAGAGTTAAGAAACAGAATACAAATTTGAAAAATTAATATTCTACAATTTCAGATGTGATGGTTCACAACTATTACCATTATTCACACATTGATATCATTTAATTTTCTTGAGATTTAACATAATTCATACAAAAGCTTAATATATTACTTAAATTAATAAAATTAATTTTGCACTAAGATTCTCACATACCTGAAATGCTAATTCTCTAGTTGGAGTAAGAACAAGGGCAAATATTCCATATGGATCTTCACAAAGTTTTTGTAAAATTGGTAAAGCAAACGCTAACGTTTTTCCACTGCCAGTTTTTGCACAGCCAATGCAATCTTCTCCATTGAGAATGCGTGGTATGCATGCCGCCTGGATAGGTGTTGCATGCTTTACACCTAAAATTGTATGAATAAGAAATCAACAGAAGAAAAGAGGACAAATAATATATTAATATTAATCGTCACGAGCGCACTACAAATACTTCTCTTCTTTCCTATTAAAATTGAACAGTGAAACACTCACTTTATTTTAAAGCAGAACGTAGAATAATGTAAACTATTAATATATTTCAGACTTGTACCTTAATTTAGTAAGCAAATTTAAATAGTATAAAAAATACAATGGATATATGTTTATTTTAGTACTGAACATAAAAAGTTTAAACAACTTATAAGTTACCTATACCATTCGTAATATGCATTATTTTAAGTTTATGAAAGTGTTTGCTTTGCAATATTCAACTGCAAACTTTTTATATTCAGTACTAAAATAAACATATGAGATAAAAGCACTTTTATTCTTCTATTAGACAGTTTATGTTTACTTTCACACTGGTTTTCTCTTCACTTTTCAAAAAGATCGTTTTGAAAACACATTTGAGGGGTCGGGGGGGGGGGATGCCCTTTTGGAGCTTAAAAGTGCGAATTAGATAGCATACCTAAAGATTCACACTGTCTCACCAACCACGAGTTTAACTTCAGATCGTTGAAAGTTTTATTCATCGTGCGTAGGCTAAAAATCTCTTATTGGCACAAGTACACACTACACAGCACTTCAAACATTAAAGTGTAAATGAACGAATAACGCAGGAGTCTTCAACAAAGCAATTCTCATTTCGCTGGGCATCACCGCGCAAGCAACAAAGGCTGGCGATGGTAAATTACTAGTTCTGGCTTTATAATATTGGCACACTATGAACTCTCGTTGGCTACTGTTCGACTAAATCTACTGTCTGACTTAGCGTTGTCAAGCTTGTAATCTTTCACAATGCAAGAATTTTGATTCTTCACTCTATAGACATCACAGTTCTACTTGACACAATCAGTCATGCCAGACTGCTACAGAGATTATGCCGATTTATTCTTTAAAAGATTTGTTCTGTCATTCTCAGGCACTTGCCATACTTTCCACCTGTCCAGCCCTAGAAGCCCCTGCTTTCCACGTGCACATACAGGCAGGCCACATGGGTTCTTGTTTATGCCAGGTTAGTTTCCGCAACTCTCACCACACTCACGTCGAGCGGTTCAAGCCAGGGCTCGGCAACTCTCCATCAAAACTGGGGACAAAGCTCGAGGTTGCTACTATAGGAAGCGCTAGTGTCGCCGGTGCAGCTGCAGGTTAGGCTCTCCAACTTTCCCACATACAAATTGGCTAATTTTGTGAGAAATACGAAAAGTGTCTTCTAAATGTAAAATTATTCATAATCTCTACTTGTAAGAAACCTCTGAAGAAAGCGCGGAACGTAGACGTTATCTTTTGTAACATTATGATCCTGCTTGCGACCCGCGAACTCACGCAGCAGTCACGCACGTTTGAAGTATCGTTGGCAGCAAGTTCCTGTTTTAATTCCTGTAAAGAAGTATGCAGCAGAGCGCGCCACCGTAATGGTCTCCACCACGTTATATGGGAGTTATAGGGCCCTGGTTCAAGCGTTAACCAACCTAACAACCCTAAATGTATGCTCGGATGGTCGCATCCATGGTGGAAACATTTCTACCATGGTTGTATCCAACGAGTTATAGACAGTGCCGTCTAGAGATAGCGTCTAAACCCTTCAGCCGATTTTCTCCAAAATAGACATTCCCTGACCAATCTGAATGGACTCGAGTCGTGGAGTAGAGATATCTCTCTCCTCTGTATCTATATATCTATTGTATCTCTCCTCCATGGTCTTGGAAGTTTCTAACCGATATTTTGATTGTTAACATTTTTTTTAAAATGAATCGGGCATTTACCTTTCTGTGCCTCTTCTCGAGTTCGATCACGGCTGACTACTCGGCCGTGCTACCAAAGGTATACTATTGTGATTATACCTTATACTATCTTAGGAATGTACATCTTTCTTTTAACGACATTCAATATTCAAGATGTTGCAGCATTATAGATGTATGTGGTCATGCAAGTAAGGTCTGTTCAGCCTTACAATGATCCTGATGTAAACAAACCATTTTTATTTAAGATACAATTAGTTTTGTACCTTACACCAGTCACACTCATCTTGTAAAAGAGAAAGATTTTGAAATATCCATCACTGACTTAACAACAATAAAAACATGGGTCTAATGAGCATAACACAGCTCTGCTGGGAATTAGAAAATCTTTTAAAAAATCTGGAAGTTATTGTAACAAAACTTGAAAAACGCAAACAATATAAAATTATTCTTTGCGATGACTTCAATATAAATTACACAATCCAATAATGAAAATCTATTTAATGACCTACCAAAATCATACAGTTTACAAACAACCATAAATACACAAACATGAATATCCAAAAACAGTAGCACTGCTATAGATCAAAGCACTGCTATTGATGCAAATAACCATTGTTTTTCTGTTGTTACATTTAATACAGGTTTCAGTGACCACACTTCCCAGATTCTAACACTTCAAACAGAAACAAAAGCCGTGGAACAGACAACTTACAAAGAATAAAATTTCCAAACTTGCTCAGATTCAAAAACTGGAATGAAGTATATAAGACGACTGACACAAATGATAAGTTTAGTTCATTCATAAATATATACTTCAGACATTTCAATGCCATTTTTCCTCAAAAACTCAAAAAGATCCAAAATAAGAAAACTAAATCATGGATTACCACAGGCATCAAAGTGTCATGTGAAAGAAAACACAACATGTATAAAATACTAACAAATAACAGATGTAACTCAAACTTCATTTCATATTAAAAACATAAAATTCAATCCAAAAAAGTTATCAAACAAGCAAAAATTATGACAAATGATATGTACATTGCAAATGCACGTAATAAAACAAAAGCTTTGTGGGACATTATTAAAAAGACTACAGCACCAACTAATAATAACAGAAAAAAATATAGAGCTCCACTACAAAAACCGAACTGTACAAGACCTACAAGAAATAGCTGATATATTCAATGAACACTTTTCACAAATGAGTAATAAGTTAATCTAACTCACTCTAAACAATAAAACACACCAACCAAACACTAATATTACACAAATTGTAAATTCCATATTTTTATATGAAACCACCCCCTCTGAAAGTTTTAAAATCATTGGACAAATGGAGAATAAATTCTCAGCAGGCATAGACAACATTCCAGATTTTCTTTTTAAACACAATGCTCCATGTCTCTCTGTTATCAGAATTTTCAAAAATTCTGGAAAAGCTTTTCAGTGATAGACTCAGTTTCTCAATGCAAATAATGTCCTTACAAATGCACAACATAGCTCAGGAGTAATGGATCCACAGACACAGCCATCTTCTCTTTTTTAAATGACATACTTCTTGCAGTAAATCAAAAGGAAATTCCCATTGGCCTTTTCTTAGATTTGTCAAAAGCCTTTGACATTATTGACCATCACATACTTTTAAGAAAACTAGAAATGCTAGGGATTTAAAGCATTGCAGGCCAATGGGTCGAATCATATTTATCCGTAGCCAAATAGTTGCCCTCCAGCACACAAAAGAAAACAAAATCTCCTCATACTACGCCTGCCCTCAATTGATAAATTGTGGAGTCCCGCAACGATCCATCCTTGGGCCAATACTATTCCTTGGCATTTCTCCAGAATAGCATGCCTTTGGCTTTAAGGAATAACAAAATAATTTTTTTTGCAGATGACACAAACATAATCATTAAAGCAAAAACACTACAATCATTAGAAAAATAAACTCACAAAACTTTGCAAGCACTAGTAAAATGGTTTCAAGACAACAAACTCATCATAAACACCAGCAAGACAGTCTCTCTAAATTTCATGAATCCTGGATCCAAAGAAAACTCACAGCATTATCTCATAAAAATAACCCTGTAATGATATCTCATGAAACTACCTTCCTCGGTCTAACAATTCAAGAAAACCTAAAATGGAATGCTCACATCTCAAATCTTAAAAAGAAGTTCACCAAATCTTGCTATGCCCTATACACCCTCAGGTCAAGCTCCAACATTGGGAACTTAGAACAATGTATTTTGCAAATGTGCACTCACACCTAAAATATGGAATAATATTCTGGAGAAATGCCGGTGAAAGCACTCGCACATTTATTATCCGTAAAAGGATATTGCGAACAATGACCAGCATTCATAAGCTAGAGTTTTGCAAACCCTTGTTCAATAAACTAAGGATTCTTCCTCTACAATGCATGTATATAGTTGAAATAGTGGTCTTCACAAAGAAAATTCTCATGGAAAACAAAGACTTTTACTTTAAATTCCAATGTACACAACTACAACACCCGTCAAAAGGATAACCTACATGCTCCCCACTCTGAAACTACACTTTATCAAAAAAGTACCCTAATAGAGGGTATTACACTTTACAACAAACTAGGCAATGATATTAAAGACATAAACACAATTCATACATTTAAAAGTAAATTGAAAGCTTTCCTGCTTAACAACATGTTCTACAGTGAAGAAAGAAAAAAAAAAGTTTCTTTCTGGATTCGCCAGACGCATTAGGTGCTGCAGTAGGACTACATGTACAAATTGAAAGAAGAAAAAAGAAAAATAACTGGTCAAAACTTGCCCCCTACCATTTCAAGTTTTAAATGTATTAATATTGTTAAATTTTATGTAGTTGCTTATCAGAATTGATATATATTGTTTTAATATTATTATTATTATTATTATTATTATTATTATTATTAATAATAATAATAATAATAATAGTAGTAGTAGTAGTAGTAGTAGTAGTAGTAGTAGTAGTAGTAGTAGTAGTAGTAGTAGTAGTATAGTAGTATCATTAAAATGACAATAACATCTTGAAATGTTAAATTATCTGCTACTAAAAATAATTATGTTCTGTATAATATCGTAATCTATCGGTAACAAGTATTGTAGTATAATTTCTGGGCCAACGACTCCATCTCGATCAGGTTTTGTGCAGTTTTCCTGGTCCCTTGAGCAAATGCTGAGATGGCCTCTTATTTGCTCCTGAACAGTAATGTAACTTCGCTCTCTCCACCCAAGACACCATATTGACTCGTCATACATGATTGTAATTGTATATGTGACTCAATAAATATTATTATTATAAGGGGGGAATCCTTTATGGAGACCGGTGAAGCCAGTACTGTCGGACTCCCGCTCTTGGTTTACTGACTAAAAACCTAAACCTTCATCTCCTAAGTCGTGATTTCTCCCACGCGGAAACCGCCGCTAGACATTACTTCGTGTGAAAGATTGACTGGAAGCTAGTGCTTCAACTCATCCGCTCCTTTTTCTTCATGATATTAACTAAGTAGTTCTCTATTATTGTCCAGTTCTCCTCCGAACTCAACGTCAGGTCCACCATGTTTTCTGGAGTTATCACTTGCAGAAGCTTAATGTTACAAATCTCCCTTTCCGCATTCCATGCCTTGCACTGAAGCAGTGTATGCTCTGCATCGTCAATATCTTCTCAACATAAGTTACATGTCGGACCTTCTTAAATTTTGTAATCGTAAAGGTATTTACCAAAGCCACCGTGTCCCACAAAGGCCTGGGATACGTAATAATTCACCTCCCCATACTTTTGAGCGACCCATCTCTCAATGTTAAAAATTATCCGATGTGTCCATCTACCTTTAGCGTCCACATTCCACCTTCTTTGCCACTCTTCAAAAAGTAGTTTCCTAACATCACTCTTAATAGTCTTTATTTCCTTGGGAGGGAGATGGCTGTTTTTTTGTCGAGCTTCCTTTAAGGCGGAGTACGTCCTTTTCCTTTCCATAGCTATAAGATCGATGGGCAGGATACTGGCCAATACTAGCACTACGCAAGTAGACACCGTACTTTTGGCAGCCGCCACCCTCAGGGCCATTCGTCTTTGCACTTGAGCATACTTATTTCTCATAACCTGTTATTTCTATGAACGCGCCCAGATTGGTGCTGCATACAATTGTGAATGAACTACTCCAAATATCAACCTTCTCTTGGCTTCTCGTGGTCCACCTACATTGGGTAGTATTCTTGCTAAGTTGTATCCTGTCCTCAGGCCATCACCCTTATGTGTGACCTAAACTTAAGTCTACTGTCTATCTCAACCCATAGACATGTT